ATCACCAGTGTGTGAATGTGTGTGTGAATGGGTGGATGACTGAATGTGTAAAGCGCTTTAGGGTCCTTAGGGACTAGTAAAGCGCTATATAAATACAGGCCATTTACCTTCATCCTGTATTTGTTTATTGTCCAGATGTGTCTGTGGCGCAAACTGATAGTTGTTATGTATTTTATAGTTCCGCATTTGGTTTGGTTGGAGTTTTCTCCATGTGAAAAGAAACCGAATACCAAAAAATAAGGAAAAGCTACGAGTTTACAACAAAGTGCATGTGCATGTGAAAACGCCCCAAGACCAGAGGAAACCCAGTGAGGGCAGTTTGGTGTGCTGCACTCAGACTTCCTTGCCTCTGGCTTTAGGACTTTGAGGGAGACAGGGATATTAATCTGAGCAGTAAGATGATATGTGGAGGGATTACACTTATTACGATTGAAAATTGGGGAAATCCCAGTCGTGTCAAAGCTCAGAAACATTCTTGCGGCCTGAATACTGAATTACTAGCTGCTGGAATGCGACAAAATTACTCGATGAAGGAATTCATCTTTGCTATATCTCTTTGTATCCACTTTGAAGGAGCAAAAGGTTTGGATTCTGTGGCTGTGCACGATTAATGGATTCTGACCACACTGCAGCTGGAAACTTTCTCTAATGTGTTTAAAGACACAGAAACTCTTAACCATGTCAGGCCGTAATAGCCACATTCATTTCAGATAAAATGATCTCCTTCTTTTTTACATTGTTTATTAATTGTAGTTGTATTCATGCTGTATTTTGGTTTTCATGTAATTGAATTTTGTAACTTTGTGTATTATGAATCTAAGCCCAACAAGGGACAATAGTTAGAAATTAGCAATAGCTATAAACTTATGTGCAATACATCAGTTTCATGTTTTATATTTGGACTATGTTAAACTGCACTGTCCCTGTTAAACAAAGAATTAAAAGAAAGATTTAAGATCATTATTTGATCATATTAAAAGTTTTGATTTATTGGATCTGTAGTACTTTACCTTTCAAAGTTATTTTGAACTGTTATATTCTACCTATATATTTAGTCACGTCGTTTATACTTCAAAGAAAAATTTAGCTAAGAGTATCAAAGTCATTTCCCAACATTTGGGATAAATAAGTATTAATAATTATATAGTAATAATAATAATAATAATAATAATAATATTTCTTTTTCTTATAACGTATAAATATTTGGTTTTAGGTATGCTTGTAATATTCTGATAGAGCTGCTTGACCCCACTTCCTGCTAATATATTGAACCAAGTACAATCGTGTCGTTGTCCGGTGTGGATTCCAAGAGTTAAAAAAGATTTAACATCTGAACTGTCGCACATGTGCTGTCCCCTAGTTTTACAGAGTAAAAACATAAATTAAGCTGACCATCTTCCACAACGCCACTTTCAACAACTAGCAAGTAATTACTGAAAACTGAACTCACATTCTCCACGTTGATGTTCGCCTTCGCACTGGTCTCCATAAATTTGATACCGTACTCCAGCGCCAGCTGACAGCAGAAGAAAAGAGTCATTAGCGAGACTATTCAGACACTACTTTTATATCGCAGGGACCTCAGAGTAACATTATCACCGACAAATCAATTCCCACCTTCTCTCCTCTTTCTTTGGACACTTGACGCTTGTCATTAACGTCACACTTATTCCCGAGGACCATCCTTTCCACGTCTGCTGATGCATGCTGTGGAAAAGAAACTTGTGGTGAACAGGTGGGAAAGCGACCTCATACATACTAAGAATATACTGGTATGTTTTCACCTTGTTCAATGCCACCAGCTCAGCAGTAAATAAGAACATTGTTATTAAAGGTAACTGATGTTGATGTTTATCTGCGGTGTATTTTACACTCATTAAATACTGTGTCGGTTATTTATAAGGCTGACGAAGAAGGCCTCTGGATTTTTATTTATTTATTTTTTCACCAAAAAAATCTTCATCATGAATGATTAAAACTTTTGCATGAATCTGTAAGTTTACATTTAATGTAGTAACATTAAAATAGTTCTGCTATTACGTTATAATTATAATTTTGCTTCTCTGGTACAAAAGAGAGAATGAATAACAAATAACAATGCAAAACATGGGCATAAACATCAGCTATTGTCCAAATTGATATTCTAAGCACTTAGAAATTCAGATTTGATACCAATTTGAGCCCTAACACAAAAATTATAATAACAATTATTCTGTAAAACCCAAATAGATTAAGCTGCTTAAATAAACGTAGCCCTGCAGGAGGATTTGGACTTGTATTTGTTGACACAATTACAAGGAGAAGGATGTGCAGAAGGCAAAACAAGAGGGTTCCTGCAAAACAGGGCCTAGCACAATAACGGCTGTATCTTAATTATCTGGGTATAATAATTTTAATCGTAACAGAAACTGAATCAAAACTAAAGCGTTACTCTATAGCACTTTGTAGAAGATCAAAATCAATAATTAACCAAAGAGGAACAAATCTGAACAGAAAGAACTAGAAAAGTACGAGTAATGCAAGGTTTTTACCTCTTCTATATTCCGTATCCAGTTCTTGATGTTTTCAAAGGACTTCTCATTGGTAATGTCATACACTAACATGATGCCCTGCAGAGGTCATAGAGCAGAACACATAAGAAAACACAGTAACCTAAGATCAGTGCTGTACTTCTTAAATCTATCTGATCCACAGAAACAGAGCTGAAAATCAACTCTAATGAAAATATGCAGCTCATGTAACCACTGTGAGATAACCACTTGTTATTAATTAGTACTATGTCAATAAAACGAAACTGAGATAAAATACTGTCGTCTGGTGATGAATTATGTTGTGTTGGAGCAAAGTAAAAGGACTTTGGTCAAAGGTAAGAAGGTCCAATTAGGTTTACAAATACAAGCATACTAACTGTATGCTTGTAGGAGGGACTAGCAAAAACTGCCAAGGTGCTGTAGTGAGCGCACTTGATTTTTCAGGTGTACACGGCATTAACAACAATGTGGGGTGTGGTTCTAGTAGAGCTTTATGCTGCAGTACATACATCATTTCACCTACTCCATTCCCAGAGATTATCTCAGCTAATGTATCATCTGAAAGGCTGACGATGCAACTTACCATGGCTCCTCTGTAGTAGGCTGTTGTGATAGTCCTGAACCTCTCCTGTCCTGCTGTATCCCTACACAGAAGACACATCTGTTAACTGTCCTCACAGAACACATTAAAGGTATAACAGCTTTTTTAGAGATTTTTTAAAAGCATACAAAATAGGGAGCAGGGCCAAGTTTCCAAGTGTTCCATACAAGTGTTGGTGAATTTCCTCGCTTGACACAATCCTATTCTGGTCAGTTACAGTAGTAGATACTGTCCAGCAGTTATACACTAACTTGTTCAGCTAACACCAACAATGTGAGGTCATTATCGTTTGTGACGCTAGGTACCCAAGCCAAGGCTGTGTGGTATTTTGCTTTTGAATTTCTCTTAAGTCTAAGGAATAGGGGGACAAAGAAAATAATTCTAAGAATATCGAGTACTTTTTGTCTTTCTCTAAAATATACAGGATTAGATTTAGGGTAAGACTTAACATTAACCCTAAGAAGGGTTAGAACAATGGTGGCCAGACCAAATGTGGGGAGTACAAAGAGTCTGTTTGATTGGGAACTTCCCATCTGTGGGTTAATAAATACACACAGAAAATACAGGTATGGCAGTGATCATGTAAATAAGTAAATACAAGTAAATACCTGTTTTTAACAATAACATTGTTGTGAAACATTCTTTCTGATTTAAATAATTTAAATAATACATTTCTAATTTAAATTAGTTTGTGTTGCTGTTAAATTGCATTGCATCATACTGAAATGCTTCTTCATCAGAAATGCTTCTCAGTTTAGAACAATTATTCTAAACAGTAAAGAGTGCAGGCATGCTGAATTATGCTGCTGACTTTCAGTTTGAAGGCAGCTTAATATCACTGTCATCCATCACCAAACCCTGTCAGATGAAGACAATTTATGGACTTGTCTATCTTACCATATCTGTAGCTTGATCTTCTTTCCATCTAATTCTATTGTTCTGATTTTGAAGTCAATACCTGAAGAAAAAAAGTCACATCAATTGTTGTCTTTTAGAAGCACCACAAACTTTGCCTGACCACCCCACAGACAGTAACAATATCTGTTTTTAATGCACGAGATAATTCACACTTTTGTAACGTTGGCAGCATGAGTGCGAAGTACAGGGCAGACTTTCATAAGGGAAATGACAGTGCCAACTATCACTGTTAGCTTTGAAGCATGCTAGCTCAGTTTACCCCTGTTAAAAGTATTTATTACGATAAAAATGTCAGGTGGGGTACATTCTCATGGAAATCACATATATTTGAGGTTGCCAAATATTCAGGCCGGTTACAACGTCTGTGAGGTTTCTAGAAATCCCCTCTAACTAGCCGGTTGAAAGCTTCCTGACTAGCCTGTAGTACAATATGAATGCTAGCCAGAAAAGTTAGCAGAATTAGCCTGTCGGGATGGGCTACTCCTATGTCTCTTTTCGTCCAAAACCACACCGATAATTCGGCTTTTACCCACCTATCGTGGAGATAAACGTTGAGTTGAAGGCATCTTCTGAAAATCTGAAAAGCACGCAGGTCTTCCCAACGCCGGAATCGCCGATTAAAAGTAGTTTAAACAAGTAATCGTAAGTCTTCGCCATGTTATTAGTTAGCTTACTACTGCGGATATCCCGCCCGTCGCGTACAGGGAGGCGTCACTTCCTGCGAGCGTCTTTTGGACAAATCAAACGTCACTCCCCACTGTCGTCGTGGCTGCTCTCCCGAGGGGGTTTGCTCGTTTTGATGCCTGTATCCACCCGTTGTGTTGTTAATTAATCGCTTAACTAACCACTGCTCGTAAAAACACAATACTAAGCCGCTGGTTATGTGTAGTCCAAAGGAAACTGGAAACTGCACACAATTGTTTACCTCTGAGAGTTTCTAAGAGTTTTCTACTGTCGTTTTTAATTTATTGTTGCTTCTTATCTTTTTTTTATTTTTTTTATTTTTTACAACAGGTGTTATTAAGACCTGTTTAGATTTTGTTTTAACAAATAAATAATTAAAAGGCTAAATTAAAGCAGACCTTTTCCAGTGCACTTTCCATTCTCTGCTGTTTGTCTGTTAAACACGTATTGTGCATTCAGCACGGACCTACTTAGCAAGTATCTGTTGCCCCTCCCTTACACGAAGACTCCGCCTACTCGATTCTTATAACTCAGACCTACACCAAACTACAGGTGGATTTAGTGACGAGCATAGCGGGCTTAGTTTGCGATATCATTTATTTACATTTGACGAGAAAACCGGACGATCTGAGCAAAAATGTCTGTAAGTGAAAATCTTTTTATAATTTTTAGATTTGACTGTTTTTGTTAGAAATATTAGAAAGTAGAACAGTTCTGACTGACAGAAAGATGCTTTAATAGTATTTTGTGAACTAGGAAATACAACATTGTACTGAATTTTAAAAAGAGTAGCAATAAAGTGAGTAATATTTTTTTTAACTCTTGTAATATTGAACTTGTAGCAACATGTTATATACTGTTATCTGGTCATTGTTCTTGTACTGTACGAATGATGCTTGGGCTTGTCTGGACATGTTGCTCCTCTAACTAGCAATTCATTCTTCAGACTGTAGGGGGCATACGCCTATAAAACATATTGCGATACATCTCTTAAGACAATCCTGACTTCTTTCACCTCAGCGGATCATCTGTCTTCATCTCACCCTATCCCCATCATCTTCCACTGTCACCTTTATCCAGTATATCCAATATTCAGCCTCTTTTCTAATTTCCAGTTAACCTGAGCTGTACAAATGTCTGTCAGCTATGCCTCCTGTCTTTTTGTTAGTGCTGTCTCCAAACCATACATCACAGCAGTTTTACCATGATCTTGTAAATAATCATTTTCATATTCTTATCCCTCCATTAACCCCATCCTGTCAGTAGCAGAACAATTGAATAGTTCATGTTTAAAAAAAAAATTGCTCTGCCTTTTCTTGCAGCTGGCTAAGGATCTGATGCACCCAAGTTTTGCAGAGGAGAGGAGGCGGCATAAGAAGAAGAGGCTGGTGCAGAATCCAAACTCTTACTTCATGGATGTTAAATGCATGGGTAGGAATTTTGGCTCATGGTGCAAAGTTTCAGGATTTATTTTTAGTTGTGTGGCAAGCTCTAATTGATCTGCAAATGCTCATCAGGGTGTTACAGGATCACCACCATCTTCAGCCA